ATTTTGCAAATCCGGCTTATTTCAATCCATGAAATTATTTCTTTCATGGATTATGTCTTTCTTGTTGTATCTGAAAAGTCATCACCACACCCAAGGTCACCTTGATATTCTGCTATGATATCTTCTAGTAGTTTGATAGTTTGGCATATTACATTCAGTTGTAGGATCCATTTTGATTTATTTTTTGTGAAGAGTGTAAGATCTGCGTGTAGATTGTTATTATTATTGGCATGTGGATGTGCAGGTGTTTCAGCATCATTTATTGCAAAGACTACTTAGCTCCATTGTATTGCCTTTGTTCCTTTGTCATACATCAGTTGGCTATATTCATGTACACCTATTTCTGGGCTCTCCATTCTGTTCCATGGATCTAGTTGTTTGTTCTTTATCCAGTATCACATGGCCTTGATTACTGTAGCTTCATACTGACTCTGCATTTGTCAGTCCTCTTTGTTCTTCTACTTTGATACTGAGTCATCTACTAAGGGTTTCTTGCATCTCAAAATAAACTTTAGAATCAGTTTGTCAATATCCACAACACAACTTGCTGGGATCTGATAAATATTGCACAGAATCTGTAGATCAACTTATGAAGAAGTGACTTCTTTTTTTACACATTTTGGTTTTTTATTTGTAGTTGGACACAATACCTTTATTTTATTTTTATGTTGTGCTGAGGATTGAACCCAGCATCCCGCATGTGCTAGGCAAGCACTATACCACTGAGCCACAACCCCCAAGAAGTGACATCTTAATAATGTTGAATCTTCTACTATTATTTATTTAAATATATGGTACAGGGATTGAACCCTTGGCCTTGCACATGATAAGCAAGCACCCTATCACTGAGTGGCATCCCCAGCTCATTTCACTGGAATTATAGACATGGGCCACCATGCCCACCAACAATGTTGAATCTTCTAATTTGTGAACACCTAAATCTTAATCTCTGCATTTATTTAGTTATCTTATTTTTCATCAGTTTTATAGTTTTCTTCATGTAGACCTTGTACATATTTTTGTTAGATTTATACCTAAGTATTTCATTTTGGGGGGAGGTGCTAATGTTAATGATAGTATGTTTTTATTTATTTTTAAGTTTTCTTTGTGTATGTGTGTGTGTGGTACTGGGATTGAACACAGGGTTTCTCTATCACTGAGCTACAATCCCATCCCTTTTTAATTAATTAATTACTTTTAACTTGGTGTTTTAGATATATATGACAGTAGATTGTATTTGACATATTATACATACATGAAGTGTAACTTCCCATTCTTGTGGTTGTACTTGATGTGGAGTTACACTGGTTGTGCATTCACATATGAACATAGGAAAGTTATATCTGATTAATTCTACTGGCTTTCTTACTCCCACTCCCCCTCCCTTCCCTTTATTCCACTTAGTCTAATCTAATGAGCTTCTATTCTTCCCACAACCCCTTACTGTGTATTAGCAACCACATATCAGAGAGAACATTCAGCCTTTGGTTTTGGGGGATTGGCTTATTTCACTTTAGCATGATGGTCTCTAGTTCTATACATTTACTGACAAATGCCATAATTTCATTCTTCTTTATGGCCAAGTAATATTCCATTGTGTATATAAACCATAGTTTACTTATACATTCAGTTGTTGAAGGGCATCTAGATTACTTCCATAGCTTAGCTATCGTGAATTGAGCTGCTCTATACATTGATGTGGCCATGCCACTATGGTATACTGTTTGGATTTAAGACAGTAGAGCAGATACTGAAATAAGACTTTAGGGGATGGTAGGATGGAATAATTGTATTGTACATAAAAGGACATGAATGTTGAGGGCAAAGTGGAATGTTATGAATGTGTATGTTGAAGCCCTAATACCAAAAATGTGATACATTTGGAGGTAGGACCTTACTGGGTTTAGATCATGAGGATTTGGCCTTCATGATGGGATTAATGACCTTAGATTAATGTCCTTAAGAGAAGTGAAAGAAAAATCTGGACTCTTATTATTCTCACATGTAAGGACACAGCAAGAAGTTGGCCATTTGTAAACTAGGAAGAGACCTCATCAACACTCAATCACGCTGGCACATTGATGCTGGACTTTCAAGCTCACAGAATGTCCTTGAGAAGTAATTGTCTGCTATTACCCACCCAGTCCATAGTATTTTCCCATGGAAGTTTCACTGGACTAAAAACCATTGCTAAGATATATCCAACCTCCACCCATGTTGAAGAACATTTAGGCCCAAGTTATTTCTAACAATGTTTCAATCCATGTTATACAAATTTTTAGTGACTAAAAAAACCCCACAAATCTTCCAAATTCATTTTGCAAAAGCTAGCAAAATATCACCAGGTTTGATCTAGTTCTGTACTTGACAAAAAAAGAAAAAAATTCACTATGAACAAATCTTTTTTATTCAAGAAGTATGACGAGATTTCAATTATTTGGAAACTTGTCAACAAAATGAATTTCAAATGACATAGACCATAAAATTACAATTTAAAAAAACTTCACAAAACTTAGCAACCAAGTAATTGCTACAGTACATACCATGTATCAAGCACTATTTCAAATATCTTATACATATTAACTTATTTAATCTCTACAACCTGTGAGGTAGCTCCATTTTATAGATGGAAGAACTGAAATACAAAAAAGCTAAGTGACTTGCCCAGGGTCAATGCATAAAAGTCTGGTGTAGTAGGGTGAATCAGGATGCTGGGTACAAAATTTATGTACTTAACCACTACACCGCTTCTTCCAAAGGCAGGAAGAAATGAAAACTTCCTAAGTACAACAGAATATTTATCAGAACCCAATAATGAACACCATATAAAACAAAACACTAAGAATGTCCCCCACCCCTGAGTTTAAAAAAAGACAAGCAATATCTGCTACATATTTAAAAACTTCTTGCTGATGTAAACATAAGTGGCATAAGATTGGAAGCTGATATAAACAAATCATTATTTATTATGTAACTACCTAGAAACCAAAAAACCACTAAAACTAAAAATAACTTCGCAAGGTAAATGGATCCTGATAAAATTTAAAAAAAAAAATGATACTTAGGGGGCTAGGGTGTGGCTCAGCAGTAGAGCTCGAGCGAAGCTCTGGGTTCGATCCTCAGTACCACATAAAAATAAATGAGTAAAATAAAGGTATTGTGTCCAACTGCAACAACAACAACAATAAATAAATAAATAATACTTAGCACTGGGCATGGTGGCACATTTCTGTAATCCCAGCAACTGGGGAGGGAGGCTGAGGCAGGAAGACAGAAAGTTTCCAGCCTCAGCAACTTAGTGAGACCCTGTCTCAAAATAAAAAGTAAAAGGTTTAGGGATGCAGCTGAATGATAGAGCACTGCTAGGTTTAATTCCCAGTACCACAAAATAGTAATGATGACAATAATAATAATAAGAGGCTTGGGCTAGGGCTTAGTGGTATAGCACTCACCTGGCTGGCATGCATGGATTTAATCCTCAGCACCACATAAAAATAAAAGTACTGTGTCCACCTACAACTAAATATATATATATATATATATATATATATATATATATAATATTAGTAGTGGTAAAGTTATACTAACAATGAACAAAGAAAGGAAGTATGGCTTTAAAGTCACAGCTATTTCCCTCCATCCAAATGCCTGGGCTTTCTCAGGAATACAAGGGATTCATTTCTGCTGGACTATACACCCAATTGGTGATGTGGGAAAAGTTATGAATAATGTTGGTTCCCACTGCCAGAGATTTAGTGTGGTAGAGAACGCACAGACAAGGACTAGGAGGTAAAATTATAATATTAAACAGGCAGATAGTTCTACTGAAGATGTGACCAGAAACGTCTAACTCAGGGTGAAGGGCTAGATCCATGAGCTCATATAGCACCTGGTTGTTCCTTGGGATCAGGGAGCCCATTTCTCGGCTGCCCCACCAAAAAAAAAAAAAAAAAAAAAAAAAAAAAGTCCTATCATTTAAAGGAAAATAGAATAAAAAAATAAATACATACTAATAAATGACATAGTCCCAATTTTGTTTTGAGTTCAGAATTTTTTTAGATCCTGAAATGGATACTTTTTTGTTATTGTATTCTGGGGAGTGTACTCAGGGCCTCATGCATGAGCACTTCCATTTTTAAAAATCGCAGTCCAGTATATGTAAGGAAGGGAGAGACTGCACCCACATTAAAGAAGGTTAGATTTGGGAGTTGGGTTTTAAAATATTTTTAAGAACTAGTGCTCAACTTAGTATGTTTTTGCAAAAAGCAATAGATACCACACCCAATCTCAAAAACCTGAAAAGTTGGTAAGGAGTATACTCATATATTTTGAGAGCAATTTGCAAGGTAACTTAACAACAGTTGTACATTGCAGCATCAGTTAATTTAAAAGAATTGTGATCTAATCATAAGTTTAAAAGAAATCCAGAAGCATTTGAAGAAAAAAGTCTTTCAGAGATGAGATGGACTTTGAACAATAAATACAAGAAAACCAGATTACCAAGTAGGAAGAAAACACAAGAGATGAGTGAATATATATTATAATATAAAACATGGATGTGGAGGGCCATAGCAAGAACTAGGAAAGAACAAACTGATAGAATGACTTATAAATGACTATAAAAATGCTCTGTGGAACAATATTGTGGAATGACTTTATGTAGTGAAATTGAGTAGCTGCAATAAAATACAGAAGATATAAACATTCCTGTTGACACACAATTTGATTATGAGATACATATTAACAAATGAGATAAAATTTAAAATAGGAAAAAGGAAGGAAGAAAAAAAGCCAATCTATAAGTAAATTAAATGCCTAGACCTTACTTTCCTAATGTAGGGAAGAATCACACTAAGTTTCTCCCACCTTAGTGACCAACTGGAAAACAATAGACAATGGTCTGCTTTGCTTAATGGTTCTAACAGGAGATCAGGGTGAACATCCTTCTTAAAGAAACCTTCATGCAAAGTCCCTTGTTCTCTGTCTCAGAAAGCCATGCCTTATGATGCTGAGTGAGGCAGACCTGAGGGTTTCTCTCCAGTGTGAGTTCGCTGGTGGTGATTGAAAGTGGAACGCTGACTAAAAGCTTTCCCACACTCAATACATTCATAAGGTTTCTCTCCAGTGTGAACTCTCTGGTGCACAATAAGCTGTGAACTGTCACTAAAGGCTTTCCCACAATCATTGCATTTGTAGGGCTTTTCCCCAGTATGGGTTCTCTGATGTACCATAAGGCTAGAGCTGTAACTGAACACCTTCCCACACTCACGACATTCATAGGGCTTCTCACCAGTGTGGATTCTCTGGTGTATAATGAGGTATGAATTTTGATTGAAGGATTTTCCACACTCATTGCATTTATAGGGTTTTTCACCTGTGTGAAGCCTCTGGTGCCGAATAAGGCACTTACTCAGACTGAAAGCCTTACCACACTCACTACATTCAAAGGGCTTTTCTCCAGTATGAATTCGTTCATGGTCAACAAGCTGACAAATCTGACTGAAGGCTTTCCCACATTCACTGCATTTGTATGGTTTCTCCCCAGTGTGGAGGCTCTGATGTCGAATAAGACATTTACTCCGACTAAAGGCCTTGCCACATTCATTACATTCATAAGGCTTCTCTCCAGTGTGGATCCTCTGATGGTCAATAAGACTTCTGTTAGAACAGAAAGCTTTCCCACACTCAGTACACTTGTAAGGTTTCTTACCAGTGTGAAGAACCTGATGTCGGACAAGATTTTTACTCCGACTAAAAGCTGCCCCACATTCCTTGCATTCATAAGGTTTCTCCCCAGTATGGGTTCTCTGGTGATCAAATAGTTTGGAACTCTGATTAAAAGCTTTTGCACATTCATTACATTTATAGGGTTTCTCCCCATTATGAAGTCTCTGGTGTTGAATGAGATGGGAGCTGTGCCGATACGTCTTCCCACACTCACTGCATTCATAGGGTTTTTCCCCAGTGTGAGTTCTGAGGTGAACGATTAGCTGGGAGGTCTGCCTGAAGGTCTTACCACACTCATTACACTCATAGGGTTTCTCTCCAGTGTGGATTCTCTGGTGACCAATGAGGTGTGAACTCCAATTGAACACTTTACCACATTCATCACACTGAAAGAATTTCTGTCCTTTTGGGACTCCTTGATATTCCTCAGGACTGGGGGACAGATTTGGATGTTCCCCTACTTCTTTATAATCCTCACATCTGTCTTTTGTGGAGTTCTTCTTATCCTCATCTGTTATCTCCAAAAAATTGATTTCCAAACTGTTCCCTTCTTCATCTGAGGGCTGCCCTTCCAGCTTCCTCAAAGTATCTTCACAGACATCTTCAAATTCTGGTCCCATAGAAGTCACCCCAAAGAGTCCCCGTGGTGACCTATCCGATGACTCTGATCCTTTAGAAATGGTCTGCTTTGGAGTGAATTCAGAACTCTCCATCCTGTTCTCACCTGCTGCCAAAAGAAAGAAGAAAATAACCTTTACTCACTTCATGTCCTGTTCTGGAAACAGAACCAAGAGTCTAATATATCATAAGGTTAAGGAATAAAAGAACACATTGAGAAGGGGAGAGAAAATAGAAAATATATCAGGTTTTTTTTCTTCAGGATAGAAAAACAAAGAGGAGGAAGATGGTCAGTGGAGGGGGTAGAAAAGGAGATACCAGGACAGAAAGATGTTGAACCAGAACAGATAATTACACAATCAGAAAGTAGGGGCCCAGGTGGCAAAGCATGATGCAATCTTCTAGAAGTCATACCATCTCAATATTAAAATGATGAACTCTATGTTCCTTTCTAAACATGACATTGTATGGTTCCATGCTTCTCAGAAAAGATGTTGGGAGAAAGAAAGCTGGCAAACACCTCATTTTAAATACAAGAAAGAGAAACAGCAAAGATGTGTGTTGATGAGAGATTATATTGTAAGGATATGACTAGGAAAATGTTTAAAAAGGAGAGATCTTGTATGACAGAAAAGTGACAAGATGTGAACATACTTTTCAACAGTGTTGAAAAGAATAGCAGAGCTTAAAAAAGTGGGAATACCATAGGTACCCAGGGCATTGCACTATAGGAGTCAGTTATGTACTCCTCTAAAAACCTAGGGATATACCTCAGTGGAAGCTCACCTGCCTTGCATGTGTGAGAAGGCCCTGAGTTCAATCCCTGGCATTAGAAAAAGAAATATAGAGAGCATCAATTATTTGAAGTTTGAATTAAATATGTTTGGGGATTTTTTTGTACCTGGGATTGAACCCAGGGACACTAACCACTGAGCCACATCCCCAGCCCTAATTTGTATTTTATATAGAGACAGGGTGAAACTGAGTTGCTTAATGCCTCATTGGTGATGAGGCTTGCTTTGAACTCATGGTTCTCCTATCTCAGCCTCCCAAGCTACTGGGATTAGAGGTGTGAGCCACTACGCCTTGAATGGAATCTTGATTCTCTAGAATAAGAAAGAAACTAGATAAGTATTTCCCTGGAATTTTTAATTCTGGAATACAAAATCTGTACAGTAAAAAGCAGAGTAGTCAGTTATCACTAAAAACTACAACACTGGTTACTTTCAATCATGTCTTAACCAAGGCCAGGGCATCACATCATTACCATATTGGAAAGTTAAAAGTTAAAAGCTCAATGACTCTCATGTCCACCCTTTGTCAAGATGGCCACTGTTGTAAGTTTTTCAATCTCAGAACCTGCCCTTTCCCAGTCTTTGCAGACAGGGAAGCCCAAGCAGCCACAATTTGAATCAGGTGACCCTGAGCATCACATGAGGTGATTGGGCAAGAGCTAGGCACTAGACCCAACTGTAATTTGTCTTTAGGTTAGTCATTAGCTTCTGCTGTGGCCTCAGCAGAACACTACCAAAATACAGATGATATTTAACAGCTATAGCAATTAGAACCCTTCTCTAAGTAAATTCTGACCTGAAAACTCGGCAAAACAATAGCAAATATGAGTGAGACCTAAAGCTGAAATGAAACATGGAACCAAGTCAAACCATTTGAAGCCACAATAAGAAGAATGTATGAGAAAAACCAAAAACAGAATCGAGAAGGAACTATGATGGAGATACAAGTTTCAGAGTAAAGAAAGGGTAACAGTTGGAACAGGGAGCAGCTGTGTTTCAGTCACACTGGAATACTGGCATAAAATTCATTTGCTTGTGCTGCTGAGGCTCCTGGGCTGTCCTGGTTGTGGCTCATTCTCTTTGAGGCTCTGTTTCCTAGTCTGGTCTAGCTGATTGGTTTGTTCTGGGTTCCTGTTACTGTAGCCTTAAAACACATAGCTCCTTACTACCATAGACTAAGTGATTCTCAATTCCTTACAATCTAGAAAACTCAAACTAGGTACCATATGTCCCATCAATTGTGAAGTAAAGGAAATGCTCACCATTGTTAAAGCTGGGTATGGGTGCAGAGAGGTTCGGTATATACTGTTCTACTTTGGAAATTTTTATAATAAAAAGTGGGGGGAAACATAGTGGGAAAAATATGCAGAATGAACTCTAAGAGAATCATTACCTAATGAGACCATGCTATAATAACTTCCTATCATCATGTTCTGGTACAGGGCTCTCTGCCTGAGGGCAGAGCCTTTCCACTTTTTCTGTACATAGTCTACAGACAGGTCCTCATGCACTTAGTCTCCTGAAATGACAAGTTTCTACCACTCAAGAACAGTCCCAGCCTGAAGGGCAGAGTCACAAAGGGTGCAGAGGGCACAGGGTACAGTCTCTTGATAACTGTAAAGGATAAGTCTATGGTAAAGCACTTGCCTAGCAAGCATGAGGCCCTGGCATCAATCCCTGGTACTGCAAAACAGGGGTAAAAAAAAGAAATGGAAAATCCAGGACAAAATAGAGTCCATTAACTGTGAATAGGGACCCAGCTCTAGGGGAAGCATTTAGGCATGAGCCTCAGGAGCTGCCTCAGGGCAGAGACCCACAGGTAAGCTCCAGTCACATTTGGGTCATAGACATGGGAATTTGGGGGAAAATAAAAAAAAAGAAAAGAAAAATCCATGCTCATCTGGGGCCTCACTGTTATTACTGGGATCTTATTTCCCCAAAAAGTTCATGTGTTGAAGGCTTGGTCCCCCATGCATCAGTGTTCAGAGGTGGGGCCTTTGGGAGGTAATTGGATCATAAGGGCTCTGACATTAGTAGACTCATGTATTATGTATTCATTGTTTAATGGGCAATTGCAAAATACTACAAACTTTAGGAGATATGGACCTATTTGGAAAAGGGATGTCACTAAGGGCACACACTTGAAGAATATATTTTATTCTCGGCCCCTTCTTATTTTTGCTACTTCTGGGCCACCATGAGATGATCACCTTTATTCCACCACATGCTTCCCACCATGATGTTCTGTCTGCCTCATCACATTCCCATGAACAACATAGCCAAGTGACCATGTACTGAAACCTTTGATACTGTGAGCCTTTAAGTCTTTCTTCCTTTAATTTCATTTCTTCAGGCAGTTACAGAAATGGAAAGCTGACTAATATACTGATCATCTGAAGCACAGGAGCTGCTGCTTGGTTTCTTGAGTTCCCCATGTGGGAAAGGGCACAACTGTAGATGTAAGCTGAGTTGAGAGGGAAAAAAAGTAGGCCAAGCCCAGCCCTCGGCTCCCATAAGGATTATATTACCAAGGAGAAGATTCAAGAGAACACAGGCAGCTCTATATACTGATTCTGGGCCTTCTTCCTACGGGCTTTATCTCACATGTGCTGTGACTGTTCTTTAAAGGGCATAATGGGAGGTCCCTGATCAAACTGAGAACTGGGTGTTCCTCTTAGCAGGCACTCTCTTCAACCTTCCTGAAAGAAGCTGTTTCTGACCATGTTCTCTCTGCCATGGCTTCCCTATCACCAGCCAAGCCTGATTTCCCCTCAGGTCTCTGGTCCCTTAAGTTCAGGTGTCTTCCTGTTCCTGCCATGTCATGGACACTCTTGGAAGTCTAGCCTAGTGCTTCCTTCTTTTCTGTCAAAGAATTCAGTGGTTCTCATGGCTTTCACACTTCTAGCTTCTCTCACTTGCTACCATGCCAATGCCCTGGATTCTATCCCCAGCACTGCAAAAAAAAAAAAAAAAAAAAAAAAAAAAAGTATGAATGTACTTAATGCCACAAGTGGTTAAAATGATAAATTTGTAGATTCTGCTGTATGGCAAATGTCATGTATGTTTTATTTTATCAAATACTTCATCACAATACTACTCACAAATTTTTAGAAAGCAGAAGCATGACCCTATTCCATAATCAAAATACGTATGTACCAAAAGTAAAATATATATATATGTACCATGCATGAGTGTACATGCTCCTGCACATGTATTTAACCCATTAAATCACAGGTTTTCAATTCTATGACTATTTCAACGAAATTGACAAGGGTACATTAAAATAGGTTGGAAATGATAACATGTAGCTTAAATATATATGTACATATGTGTGTGTGTCTTAAATGTGTACATATGTATTATATGAATTATATAATATTATGTGTTACATTATATAATTTATATAATTATATTAATTGATGTTACCTTTAAATGTAATAAGGTTACTATATATTTATATTATACATTATATACTGTATTTTGGGGCTAGGGTAGTAGCTCAGTGGCAGAACGCTGGCCTAGCACCACATAAAAAGTAAATGAATACAGTAAAAGGTATTATGTACCACCTACAACTAAGAAAATATTTAAAAAAAAAAAAAAAGGTTCTTGGGGCTGGAGATGTAGCTCAGTGGCAGAGCACTTGCCTTGCACGAATAAGGCCCTGGGTTCGATCCTCAGCACTACATAAAAATTAACAAATAAAAATAAAGATTGTGTCCATCTAATATATATATATATATATATATTTTTTTTTTTAATTTAGTTCTTATGGGTGTTCCACTGGAGGCTACAGGTCTCCACTTCCCTTCACCTACCCACCCGCGCTCTCTCACCGTTTCCATAGACCACACCCTCGCGCACACTTGTGTGGGAGCGAACGTCTGGAGAGACCGGACTCCAGATTCTCCACACCCGGAGGCCGACCCCAGAGGCTCCACAGAGCGGCCCCTCCCGGAGCAGCTAAAGACCGCGGCCCTCGGGCGTCCAACCCGCACAGCTGAACTGCCAGGTGAAGGCGGTCGGGGTCCTGGTTTTTGGCTACCGCGCCGCCGCGTCGCGCACGCGTGTCGCTGCCAGGGCCGTCGCGCCTCTCTAGGACACCGGGAGAGTAGACGTCTCGGCTCCTCCCGGGCTGGGCGCCGCCACCCTGGGGCCCTGCGTGCTGCAGAACACCTTGCCCCTCCTCGCTTTCGGTTGCTGCTCACTTCACATTCTCCTCCCAGGAAAGTTAGGGAGCCAAAGTAGGGGGTCAAAGTAGGAATTGCAAGCCCAGAAAAGCCTCCACTGTCTCGCCCCAGGGAAATTCCCCAACAAGGCTGTCCTAGTAAGGATGAGTTCCAAGCCCTAGCAGGCAACTCTTCAGCAGTGCTCAGGCAGCATGTGACTGTTTTCTCAGCACTGACACCCAATCACCTACTACAGAAACTTCACCTCCGTGGAAAAAGCAAATAAGTAAGAAATGACACATGGAAATTGCAAATAGTTACAAATACTATATTGAAAATTAATAGGGTTATTTGAGTGACTGATTTTAATACATGTTTATTATTATTATTATTATTATTATTATTATTATTATTATTATTTTGGATGCCTTTTTCTGAGTTCTTAGCATCCTGCCTGCCACACACTGGTTTGGGTGGCCCAAGGAAATAGGGTCAATAAACTGGATAGTCATTGAGGCCATATCCTTTGGTCTACCCACTATAACACCCCATAAAATCCTTCCTGTCCTATTTCCCTGTGGAGGAAGAATGGGGGTTGGCATGTCTCTTAGCTGAGATCAGAGAAGCTGCGGGGGTAGGGATGTAGGCAGGGTAATAAGCAAGACTAGATAGGTTAAAGGGCAAACTTCCACAGAAAACTAAAATCCATGTCCAGGAATCAAAGCAAAGAGTATATTCAAAGTACTAGATAGAATGAGGGTCCAAGGTAAACTGGAAAATCAGAACAGGCTGTTTTCCTGGGTTATGACCTGGAAAGGCTTTGTGTGGCATTTTGAATTGTAGAACTAAGTACAAAGCAATAAAATGTTCAGTTTGTGCATATGGTTACAACCTTTCTGATTCTTGCCATTTTTTAAAGTGTTCATGTACAGGTTGGTAAAGAGCAGCTGTCCAGCTCCATAGGGGCTCCCCTGTACTCCAAGCTGTTTTAATCATTCTCATGTTCCAACAGCTGTCAAAAGCTAACATAACCAATGTAGGTAAAAATCTAATTGGCTTGCTTGGAATTGATGAATCAGGACAGGGTCCTGTACTATAAAACAGATAAACAGCTCCCACTGGACATGACAAAACAATGTGTTTTGTAAGGTAGGAACAAGGAAACAGAACAACAGAAAAAGGAGATGGGTTAAAATCCAATTACTTCAAGTTACTTTTGTAAGAGTTAAGACAAGGGATTTGCTTAGGTCTTGGTGTTAGTGTTTCCAGATTCAAATTTTCATGCTATCCACCACTCAGAGTGATCTAAATTCAGGATATGGAGGCTGATGGAATAAATCAGGTTTATTACTGGGCATGGTGGCACATGCCTGTAATCCCAGTGACTCAGGAACCTGAGGCAGGAAGATTGCAAGTTCAAGGCCAGCCTCAGCAACAGGAGACAGACCCTAAGCAACTTAGCAAAACCCTGTCTCAAAAATTTAAAAGGGCTGGAGATGTAGCTCAGTAATAAATGCCCCTGAGTTCAATTCCCAGTGACCATAAATAAATGAATGAATGGAAGGAAGAAAGAAAGAAAAATCAGGCTTATTCAAAGTCAGCCCTGAATAGGATGGAGTGAGTTTAACCTCAGAGCTCTATTTTTAGAGGGATTAGGCTTTTATGGGGACAAAAAAAGGAAATGTAGTGCATAGGAAGGTTGTGTGCTGGGTGGAATCTTCATCTTCCAGGGTTGTGTCTCCTTTCTTGTCTCTGGCCAGACTTTGCAATGGACCTGGACCTTCTGCAGCTAATTACAGCTAGTTAAACAAAACCTAAGGAAGGGCTTCTCTTCAGTAAAATGTATTAGAGAGGGATAAGGGAGTGGGGAGCAAAGGACAGTTTAAAAAAGGGGCCCTGTTATAATTACCCCCTTGTTCTTTCCTCAACTTGAGAGATTGGGGGTAATGATTGATTTGGCTATTTCCTGCTGAATTAGTTTATAAATATGGTTAGAGAAATGAAACCATTTAGCACTTGTCTGGACATGAGAGGGAAACAATCTGGGTATGTCCTGGTTGTTGGTCTAATCTGGTCTCACATCAGGGAGGAAGTGATACATGACTAAAAGTCAGTATGGAAACCCTTTTATATTATTATTATTATTAATTTCCTTGGAACTGTCAGAGCTCCTAGAGATGGAGCAGGAATTGCAAATAAAAGACTTATCAGACTCTAAGGCACACAGAGATCACCTGGAGACCTTACTGAAAAGAGTATTATGGTTCCATGGGACAACGATGGGCCAAGAGCCACGTTTCTAATAAGCTCCCAGGTGATGGAGAGCTGCTGGTCTAAGTGTT